CAAAGCCACTGTGATAAAAACAGCATGGTAGTGGCAAAGAAAAACACCCGAAGATCAGTGGAATAGATTGGAAAAAACAGAAACAGCTTTAGATGTACTCAGCTACCTCATCTTTGACAAAGGAGCCACCAATTCTCACTGGAGGAAAGATAGCCTTTTTAATAAATGGAGATGGAAAAACTGGATTTCAACCTGTGAGAGATTAAAACTAGACCCTTACCTTTCACCATGCACTAAACTTAAATCCAATTAGATTAAAGATCTAAATATTAAAACAGAAACACCAAACCTGCTGGAAGATAAGTTAGGCAGAACTCTTGAAGACATTGGCAAAGGAAAAGACTTTATGAACAAATCCTCAGTAGCACAGTAACTTGCACAAAGAATCAATAACTGGGATCTCATCTTATTAAAAAGCTTCTGCACTTCAAGAGAAACCACCAACAGAGCTAAGAGACAATATATAATGTGGGAAAAAAATTTTATCAGCTGCTCCTCAGACAAAGGACTATTATCTAGAATATATAAAGAACTCAAAAAGATCAGGCCCCCCAAATATAAAGACCTGACTCAAAAATGGGCATCTGAAATGAACAGACTTTTCTCAAACAAGTAAAAGCAGCAAATAAACATATGAAAAAATGTTCAACATCACTGGTCATTCGAGAGATGCAGATGAAAACAACAGATTTTCCACCTCATCCCAGAAAGAATGGCTGAAATGAAGAAATCAACCAATAACAAATGTTGGTGAGGTTGTGGGGAGAAAGGAACCCTTCTCCATTGTTGATGGGTGTGCAACTGGTGCAACCATTGTGGAAATAAATATGCAGCTATCTCAAAGAACTAGGATTAGAGGTTCCACTTGACCCAGGTATCTCTTTGCTGGGTATCTTTCCAAAAGAACTGAAGGAATCATACCACAGCAATATATGTGCACCTATGTTTATAGCAGCGCAGATTGCAATAGCTAAAACTTGGAAACAGCCCAACTGCTCATCAGTTGGAGACTGGATAAAGATGTGGTTTTTCTATAAAATGGAATACTACTCAGCCATAAAGAATGAGAAACTAGAGTCATTCATGGGAAAATGGATGCATATTGAGGCCATACTCTTAAGTGAAATAAATAGGACAGATGTGTAAATATCAAATAGTTTTTCTGGTGTGAAAAACTAAAAGTGTAAGTAAGATCCAAATTGTATAACTGATAATGTGAAATAGGAAGAAAAGGGCGAATGGTATAGGGGAACTGGGAAGTGTAGGGGAAAGGAAATAAAGGAAAAGAAAAAATATGAGAAAAGGAAAAAATGGAAACAAAGTCTTTATAAATAGGGGAGGGTGGGGGTGAGGGAGGGCATGGGTATGGGGGAAAAATGAGAACCAAAATCTGCCATGTAAAGGAACAAGATCCCAATGATGAATGTTACTATATACCTAAGAAGTACCGAGAAACTCAATTAAAAAAAAAAAGTTGTCCCCCAGCCGCCATCACTCCAGCGTCCAGGAAGGTAGCCAGGACTGAACTCCCATAACTCCCCTTACCCAAACACGCCAACACCCCCACCCCCCCATGCGCGCTCTCAGGCCTCCTGACTATGCCAGTCTTTGGACCCACTCTACAGAGGAAGAGGTGGTTATCAAGGGTATTTTTCTGAGTTCCCAACTTTGAACATCTTTAAAGAAAGGGCGTGGGAAACCTGTAGTAGAACCGTGTGGAGTTCAACCATTCAGAAGGTTGGGGAACTCAATCTGGGCCTTGCAGCCCAAAGTCAGTCTGCCTCAAGGGGTTCAGCCATTAGCTAACTGAGATCAGGGGTCTTGCGTCCTTGCTCTGTCTGAGCTGTTAAATGGTAAATATACTATATTGAAATTCTGTTTACTGCAGACATGTTCTGGACTGCTTCTTGATTTCAATTTAATTCAAATGATTTAAGGGTGATAGTGACTACCACAGGTGGTCAGTTTCCAAGTTGTGCTTGATCTTAATTGTTGCTGATCGTATCAGTTGGGGTAAAGCACTGCGGTTGATTTGATGAGCTGTTTTCTCTGATGGTATGAAGATGAGAATGTCTGTGGGTCATTAGAGACACAGAAACTAGGGCGCAACTATATCAGGAAGATTTGGGTGATTACCCAGAGATTAAGCCAAGGACAGTCCGACAACAAAAATAAAAATGAGAAAACACTTAAGCAAGACACAAAGACAGACTTCCAGTTCACCAGTGGCAAAGAGTAGGGCAAATGAGGATGAAAAGGCCGATAGTGAACCACGAGGACACCCTGAACTCAAAGCACAGGAAGTAACAAAACAGATCAATCAGGCTCTAGAAAAATTCAAAACAGAAATAATTTCCCAGATAACCATAGAGATAGTGAGCAAAATAGAAGTCATGATTCAAGACTCTACAGCAGAAACTGACAAAAAAATAGATGACCTCAGGACCATGATAGAAGCCATGAAGGCCCAGCATAAGAAAGAAATGGAAAAAATAAACGCCCAACATAGGAAAGAAATGGAATCCATAAAACAGATATTCAGGAGATTAAACACTCCATTGAAAGGGTACACAACAGAATAAAAGAATGCAAAGATAGACTCTCAGATATAGAAGATAAGATTGCAGTCAGTGACCAGGAAAAGAGAGGTCTCTTAAAAACAGTAAGGGATCATGAGAAATCGATCCAACAACTCCTAGATCATGCAAAGAAGAATAACTTAAGACTGATAGGAATACATGAAGTAGCAGGAGAAAATACAAATGACTTAAAAAAGCTGTTCACAGAATTAATGACAGAAAACTTCCCAAACAGAGGGGAAGAATTTGACATTCAGATAAGTGAGGCATATAGGACCCCAACTAGGTACAATAAAAAAAAAATCTATACATAGACATATAATAATCAAGATCCCAGAAACCCAACAGAAGAACAAAATACTACAAGCAGTAAGAGAATAGAAACAAATCACATACAAAGGAAAGCCCATCAGAATCACAGTTGACTTTTCAACACAAACCCTTGGGGCAAGGAGAGCCTGGAATGAGATATTTCAAGTACTAAAAGAGAACAACCCTCCAACCTAGACTGATGTATCCTGCAAAACTCTCTTTCAAAATGGATGGGGAAATAAGACTTCCACAACAAAGAACACCTGAGAAACTACATGAATACCAAAGCAGCACTACAAGCAATTCTAAACAAGATCCTAGAAAAAGACAATGAAGGCAGCAACAACACCATGAGGCCCAACAGAGCAAATCAAATAGGCAAGGCAAGAAACTAAAAGGAGAAGATGAAAAAGTAAAAAGAGTCAACAAAAGGCCAATAACATGTCAATAATAAGTCAGTACATACCAGTTATAACCAGCAATGTCAATGGCCTCATCTCACCAATCAAGAGAAACAGACTGGCAAAATGGAATAAGAAGCAAAATCCAACAATATGTTGTATACAAGAAACACACCTAGGGCAAACAGAAGCCCAGAGACTGAAAGTGAAAGGATAGAAAACAATTCTCCATATGACAGGAGCCCAGAAAAATACAGGGGTAGCAATCTTATTTGCAGACAAAGCAAATTTCAAAAACTGATTCTAGCATTATTGATGTAGGACAGTACTGTATCATACCCCTGTGAACGTAAAATATCTTGTACCTGCTTTTTGATACATAGTAGTGACCATGCTTTATCAGAGCTGTAGTTAATGATGGTACTCTAGAATGTTCTCTTTCCAGATGATGATTAAGATGTTAATAAAAAAAATGGTGCCAGGTACCACAACAGCAACAGAACTTTGCTGTTTTCTCGATATTATTCTTTTTTTTCTTAATTTGTTTTGTTTTGTTTAATGGAATGTGCTGAATGTCTGTAATTTTGTTCAGATGACTGCAGAACCTGGAAAAGCTGTTGCTGCTATCGATGCATAACATACTGCTATTATTAGTCTTTTTATATAAATATAAAAATATATATACATATATATATAAATTGAATTTTGGGAAACTTTAACGGTGCTGTCAACTTT